AATAAATATACATATTTGAAATCAGAGTTAAATCTGTACAGAAACCGTGTACTGGAAAAGTGGAGACGTTTATACAGCAGTGGACGAAAATAATGAAACTAAACTCAAAATAAGTAAACATTTCTACCAGGATAAATTATTCCTGTAGATGATATGTAGCGATTGTATTCGGGGAATGTCTTGTAAGTTTTGCATATGGAAATAAAACAACATGGTAGGTAGTTTTAAATGACTTTATTGTTTTTCGAAGTATTCTCCACGAAGATTAATACAAATCCGCATGCGCTCGAACCAATTTTTGAAGCACTTATTCCACTCGTTTGCTGGCAGATCCAAAACGGCATTTTTGAATGCGTCAACTGCTTCTTTTGGTGTCTGGAACCTTTGACCACGCAGTCTGTTTTTAATTTTTGGGAAAGTAAAGAAATCGTTAGGACTTAGATCGTGACTATATGGAGGATGGTCCAATAATTCCACGGTTTCTTCCTTTAAATACTGCCTTGTTTTTTGGGCTGTGTGCGAGCTTGCATTGTCTTGGTGGAGGATGATTCTTCTTTCGGGGTTGATTTTTCGAAGCTCGGTGATGACTTTTGGCAAACAAATGGTGGTATACCAATCCGCAGTAACATCTTTGCTCATTGAGAGGAATTGTTGCAATATAAACCGCTTTTGACACAAATGTCGCGATCATCTTTTTCGAAACACTTCGAGAACGGATGACTTTTGTTGGCTTTTCTTCACCCAAATAGCCGACTGTCGTTTATTTTCTGGTTCATAACAGTAATTCCACGATTCATCACCACTAACAATGCTGTACACATTTTTTGAGTTTCCGGAATTGAAACGGTCAAGCGTTTTTTGACACCAATTAACCCTGGCTGCTTTCTGCTCTTCAGTCAACAGGTGGGATATCCAACGAGAAACTAATTTTCTTACTCCTAATTCTTCATGTAAAATGTTTTGAATTGAGGACTTTGAGATCTTCAAGGACGCCTCAATCTCGCGATATGTCACATGTCTATCTTCAATGATGAGTTTGCGCACAGCATCGACGTTTTCCTGGGTGACTGCCGTTTTTGGTGCATCCACCCTGGGATCGTCGCTAAGACTCACCCGTCCACGTTTGAATTCTCCCTAACGCGAAATTGTCGACTGATGTGGCGCTTCGTTGCCGAAAACAGACAGTAACTCAGCAAGGCGTTCTTGTTGCGATAATTGTCTCTGAAAGTTGTAACAAATTATGGCGCGAAAATGTTCTCGGTTGAGTTCCATTTTTCTAATGACTTGGTGACACTTAAAAATTCACTGTAGGGAGAACACTGCACGTATTGTTGTGAAACTTTGAATTTAAGTTTACTAAAGAGTGAGGTTAAGATTCAGTACTGACGTTCGATCCGCGCGGCCTACTATGTTTCTATATGCAAAACTTAAAAGACATGGCTCGTACACGCAATAAGATTTGCAAACCAAACTAAAGTTATTTGATACTGTGTTACAGAAAAAATGCTGAAAATGATCAATATATGGTGTATAGCTACTCAAACGAAGATAGTAGTACTTACCATTTCCATAATGTTTGAGCTTTGCCTCACTTTTGATTAATTTTGAGAGAATTGTTACGGCGATATACCAAAGCTGTAGGTAGCGACGGGCCAACAGTCTAGTCGCGAAGTATTTTTCAAACTACCGATAGCAGGTGACGACAATTTCAGTAATCTCAACAATTCCTGCATGGATAAACAACAGAGTTGGGATGCGTCGGTGGATACATACCTTAACGCATGTCCAGGTACAAAGAATTGAATTGTGAAAAATGACATTGTTTGAGCTCCAAAACGAAAAGGTTAAAATTGCTTATCGCACGTATATTATGTTATGGCTAAAACCCGGAGGTCATTTTTATAATTTCTGTCACCCGTAAATACGAGAGCTGAAAGGTGACTTGGGCTGTTTTAAATGCTCTGGTGTAGACATTTATCTGCCGCCCACCACCCGATTTTGTGATAGTTTCACACGCTGAGTCTATAAAAAATCGGCCCCTTGGTGGTTTTTATTGTCGGAGCCTTTTTCTTACCCTTTTGGCAGTTCCCCGATTTTTGGAGAACCTTCATTGTTAGAGTCTGACTTCCTACCAACGGTTGCCGTTAGCCAACGAGATAGCAAAGTCTTAATTTTAGTTTTTTTGGGTAACCATTTAGCTAGGGGAATACGTAAATGTATTCTCGTTCTCCAGGAAGTTTTTTATTATTATTTTTTTTTTCTTCAATAAATGTCTGTGTACCTTGTGAGTTGGTATATTTTTTAACGCCAGAATCCCAACAGTGATACTTGTTATTAACTTCATGTCGCAGTTTTTGGAAACTAGGTGGCGCTCAAATAACTATTGCATCCGAAACCAAAGTACAAAGAACCTCACCCCGAGGGGCTCATGGCTACCAACTGAGAACAATAACATCACGGAATTAAAAGATCGCCGTACCAAGCAATGTTTGGTTGTGATGTTGAAGTTGGCTTAAGGTCATCAGTTCTGCCTCTGCAATCGAAAAGATGAAGAATAATGAGGATCGAATCCCATGGAAATGAAATTACAGAAAAAGCAGTTTGCTAGCTTTTTGACCAGAAGAGAGGTGAAAAGTGTGACTTGTGCAAAAAGAAGCAAATTAGATAATAGTAAGAAAGGTGAACAAATGAAAAGTTTCCTCATTGCAAGGTAGGTGATTCTTACCGCAGGCACGCCCAATAGAGGACTTTTGGGCTTTACTGTCTAGGAAGGTTTATACGAGGGATGTCTTTTAAGTTTTGCATATAGAAACATAGTAGGTCGCGCGAATCGAACGTCAGTACTGAATCTTAACCTCACTCTTTAGTACTTAAATTCAAAGTTTCACAACAATACGTGCAGTGTTCTCACTACAGTGAATTTTTAAGTGTCACCAAGTCATTAGAAAAATGGAACTCAACCGAGAAGATTTTCGCGCCATAATTTATTACAACTTTCAGAGACAATTATCATAACAAGAATGCCTTGCTGAGTTACTGTCTGTTTTCGGCAACGAAGCGCCACATCAGTCGACAATTTCCCGGTGGTATGGAGAATTCAAACATGGATGGGTGAGTCTTAGCGGCGATTCCAGGGTGGGTGCACCAAAACCGTTAGTCACCCAGGAAAACGTCGATGCTGTGCGCAAACTCATAATTGAAGATAGACATGTGACATATCGAGAGATTGAGGCATCCTTGAAGATCTCAAAGAACTCAATTCAAAAAAATTACATGAAGAATTAGGAGTAAGAAAATTAGTTTTTCGTTGGATACCCCACCTGTTGACTGAAGAGCAGAAAGCAGCCAGGGTTAATTGGTGTCAAAAAACTCTTGACCGTTTCAATTCCGGAAACTCAAAAAATCTGTACAGCATTGTTAGTGGTGATGAATCGTGGATTTACTATCATGAACCAGAAAATAAACGACAGTCGGCTGTTTGAGTGTTCCAAGGTGAAGAAAAGCCAACAAGTCATCCGTTCTCGAAGTGTTTTGAAAAAGATGGTCGCGACATTTGTGTCAAAAGCTGGTCATATTGCAACAATTCCTCTTAATATGCAAAGAACTGTTACTGCGGATTGGTATACCACCATTTGTTTGCCAAAAGTCATCACCGAGCTTCGAAAAATCAACCCCGAAAGAAGAATCATCCTCCACCAAGACAATGCAAGCTCGCACACAGCCCAAAAAACAAGGCCGTATTTAAATGAAGAAAACGTGGAATTATCGGACCATCTACCATATAGTCCCGATCTAAGTCCTAACGATTTCTTTACTTTCCCGAAAATTAAAAACAGACTGCGTGGTCAAAGGTTCCAGTTACCAGAAGAAGCAGTTGGCGCATTCAAAAATGCAGTTTTGGATCTGCCCGAAAACGAGTGGAATACGTGCTTCGAAAATTGGTTCGAGTGCATCAGATGTGTATTAATCTTCGTGGAGAATACTTCGAAAAACAATAGATTCATTTAAAAATACCTACCGTGTTGTTTTATTTCCACATGCAAAACTTAAAAGACATCCCTCGTAATGGAGGCTGACAAGCCTAAGATGAAGAAAAATTAAGACGACGAATTAACGAAAAACTGAGAGAAATTGATCTGAATTCCATCCAGGACCTCATGAGATACATTCGAAGAAAGTTGCGTCTGGTAGAGCAGAATGGCCATTCCACATAATTCGATAGTATAGTTTAGTTAAGTATTGAGTTGTAATTTATGATAGCTAGTGTTTAAATGAATTTTTTCATTAAAAAAAAAATCCGATAAATATTTTGTGCCAAAACTTTTGGGACATACGTTAGTCGTCATCGCATTTCGGGTTTTAGCCATAACATATACACTGCTTACCGAGCCCTACGCGAATCTACCATATACAACCAGCCACTGACGACGTATCCAGTATCATTGATTAATGTATCATACCTGAAGATTGTCAACCAGTGTCCAAAAAATTAACAGAGATGAAAAATAAAATTCTGTAGCTTCATATATGATAATTTGATCCTGCTATGTTTTCCCTTTACTTACTAATTAGAAACCTACTTTGAAAAGTCAGTGTTTCATAGATGGCGCTGTAGCCAACTATACGATACATTTACATTTTCGAAGTAAATTTCTAATTTGTGCGGAGGAGAAAAAATCTCATAAATAACACTTTGGTATCTCATTTCATCTCGGATAAATTTTTGGACGCTGAAATACACTATATGGTAGAATAGTAGAATACCTTAACCAATGCCAGTATTTAACTCAAATAAAAGTTCTACACTTTACCCACCTAAGAATGACAAAACGATCCGACATACTACCATATAAAGCATACATAAAAAATTGATTTTTTCGAAGGAATTTGCTAAAGACTGCCGTGTTCATACGAGAAATGATATTGTTTTGGTTGATTTGGAATAATTTAACTGAATAGTAAAGAAAAATAAATTAAAATAATTTGAACTGAAAAAAAAGGTATTTCATAGGGTTGATATGGAAGAAAATATATGCTGCAACGTGTTTTTATTCACAGTATCTACACATCAGTAGACATTAACTACATGTATGTTCGTAAAATTATTGCAATATAAAACTAAACTACATTTAAGCCACAAAATAATTTGAAATAAATCTAATGTCGACATAAAAACTTAATAAGACCATGTCATTTCAATAATATTTCACTTTCCATAATTCTATATAGAAACTATTATGAGATTAACAGAAGCTTCACTCAGAAATTCGTTACTCTAGTAACGTATATGATATTGTCAAAATCACAAAAGATGACTATTACGTCATATCATAAATTGTACCGAAGTAATCAGTGGACGTTCGCCGATGATATATCACGATGTCAGGAACATAATGACAACAAATTTATATTATGATTTTGCGAAGTTAGGTTATTGCACTGATTATTTTTATTTTTATTTTATTTCGTGGTTTTGAGTGATAACCTTAATAATAATTTTAGTGGGGTGTTTTTGTTTTGAAAAAAACTGTTATGAGGAGAATACTTTAAGACAGGAACACCAAAGACCAGTCTTATTCGAAAACAACCTAACCTGCTTTAACATAACCTAACTATTCATCTTTCAAATATGATCGATCACGCAACATGAAAACATCGCCTATCTTTGTCGAATACATGCAAATTAGCAATACAGTTTGTTTAGACAATACAATTGTTTGTCTCTGTCTAATACATCTGAAACTTCATTAAAAATATTCCTACAAATCGCTGTCGTTAGTCTTTGCTACAGACTAAAATGATGACGTAATCGTCATCTTTCGTGATTTCGACTATATGCAAATAATTATGAATGTAGATTAAGAAGTATAGACAAATGGGGCAAAGTTGAAGCCATTGGGAATAGAGATAAAAAACAATGAAAACTGAATTATCCTGCTTTCGATGAGAGTCCTGCTTTAGCGACGCTCGAAATGCGTTTTACTGAAAAAAAAAACACCGAAATCTTACACCCAGGAAGTCACTAGCGAGACCTTACGCTTTTAAAGACCATACAATCAATGTTGATGTATCATTAAGTTTAATGATGGCGAATGCATTATTCAATTTATATTTCAAGCAAAGCTTCTGTTAACTTCAACACTTCTGACAGGTGTTCTAATCTAAAACCTATATCTATAATCTGACTCGAAGTTATTCCTACCAACACCGCCTCCGTAGCCTTCTCTACTCCTTCCACCAGACCCTGGCCCTCGCAAGTACCCATCATGCTTTTGAGGAAAAATATCAAACTCATCTTTGTCCATTTTGCTACTACCCCCAAACTGAGACTTAGCCAGCAATTGAGCAGGAGTTAAAGACGCCAAAGATTGGTTCTTTGGGATCCTATTAGTACGAAGATCATCCTCTGAAACTTGAGTACTAATAGAGTATGACATATGATCATCGCTGTACTGCGTGCCAGTGGATCTGTACAGTATCTTTTTACGTTGAGCACAGTCTGGACAGCCGACTACACCTGGTCTTGATTGGACTGTTGAGGCAGATATTGAAGGAGGAGGCGGTGCAGGAAGAGACGTCTTCTTATCCTCCTTATCCTCTATTTCTATGACTTCGCTCTGCAGTCCAAGATGTTGTATCAGTCTCTCTATGCGACCTGAGAACGCGCTGACGTTTTCGGCTTTGGATGGCAGCTCCGTGAACGGTATCTTCACCTGGGCTATCCTTTTCAAGGGCGATATAGTCTTGGCTAAGCTTGGTGGTTGGGTCTTGTGTACGTACAGTCTCCCAGAGAATTTCTTTTCGGCCTTGTTGAGGAATTTGATGGCTTCCTGGCATCGGGTTATGACTAGAATCCATTAGGAGGGTACGTCACACATTTTTGTTCTGACAAGTTTATTTCTTTCAACTCACTATTTTATGATATAAAACAAAATATACAATCTACATAAACGTCACTGTATTTCGTGTTTCGCCTTTAACATCTCAAGATGGTCTGCCTTCCCAGTCTTTAGATGTTTCTAACGATTTTTGAATCTTGAAGGTACATGGTTTATATACAGAGTTAAGATTTTGATACATCGCTATGAGAATACCAAGCACGTGAAAATCTTTGCTATCTTGGAATTGGAAAATTGTTATAAAACGATAGAGGGTTAAGTTGTCTAGAGGCATGAATCACTGAAGGAGAAATAAAGACGTATTCTAGAAGACTGTAAGTTATGGTCTTTCATATAATTATTATATTGTAAAATGATATGTTTATTTCAATATACACGGTCTGTCGCAAAGTAAACAGGACAAAGAAAAAAAAATGAACAAACATTTTTTTGTTTCGGAAAATCGAATTTATTTTATTCAAAATAGTCTCCTCCAGAGTTAATACAGCGATTTGCACGAACCAAGATTTTAGCTCATTGACCGGGATGCCCTTCACAATGGTCGTTGACGCCTTTTGGATGGCCTCTACGTCCCTTCAAGGTCAAATGTAGTTTACCGAACAGAAAATAGTCACACGGTGCCACATCAGGAGAATATGGGGAGTGGTTGATTGTTAAAATGCCATTTTTTGTCAAAAATCGGACACAAGCGTCGATCGATGAGAAGTTGCTTTATCCTGCAACACGCGCCAGCTTCATTCTTCGCGATATAATGGCCGCACACGACGAATACGCGACAGCAAACGCTTGTCAACACCGAGACAAAACACAGCATTAACCGTTTGGCCCGGTGGAATGAATTCTTTGTGAATAATTCCCTTCGAATCGTAGAAACAAATCAACATGGTCTCAACTTTGGAGTTTTCCAAACCGCTCTTTTTCTTATCTGGCTCGCGTTGGTGCTTCCATTCGGCACTTTGACGCTTGGTCTCGGGATCGTATTGAAAACGCAACGTTTAGTCACCAGTCACAACGTTTTACAGAAAGTTTTCGTATTTTTTTGGCATCTTTAGAGATATTTAATTCCATTTCTATGTATCTCAATGAAGATTTTGGATCATTTCTGATAAATTCACGCACTTTTTCGACTGTTTCCGGCCTAATCACACATTTTGGCTGGGCAACATGTTCGTCGTCTTCCAGCGACTCACGACCCTCTATGAACCGTGTAAACCACTCGTGGACACGGCCAGAGATAAACAATCATCATCATACACTTGCATCAACATTTATTCGATGCTCATTTTTCGACCGATGCTAAAAAGGTACTGTCACTGAGCGCGATAACTCCGCGAGAAGTGGTTTGATTGTCATGAAATTTGGACAGGACATCAATGAAAGATGTACCTATCCAACGGATAACTTTCGAATGTCCTGTATAGTTTGCGACAGACCTTGTATGTATCCAGGATCTGCAACAATAGGTAATACGATAGACCGGAAATAATTCATGAAAAATAGGACGTTGTCTAATGCATTAAACAATGCAAAATAAACATTTGCTTTATGCTATGAATATTATGGAATAATTGCGTCAAAGCAATTACTGTGTCTCTAAATTGCTCACTTCTTAAAATTATGCTGCTCATCACCACTTGCTTTCTATCGCATAACAAAGTCCAAAATATAATCAATATTCTAGACAATGTCTGTAGCTTTAAGACATGCTACATAGGGTTCCACAGATCTATATTTATAAATCAGAGGTTGCATGACAGTATGATATTATTAAACACCAGGGTTGCTTTGATTTTGTATATTTATGCTATCAAAAGATAAAAATTCATTATGTTTAGTCACTTTTATTTTCACTTATCAGTCACCATAATATAAAAATATATGAAATAAATGTCAACCTACCTTTTATTTTTTCCCGTAATTCGTCAGGATTCGACGAAGAAGCTGGACAGAAAGACAAACTCAGTAATTTGATATACACGATTCTGTGGTAAAATTTTTCACTTCGGTAATAAATGTCCTGAAACTCAAGCCTGAAAACTCATTCAAAATTATGTGTAAGTAAAACTGTAGGTTTATCAAATTTTAACAATCTATAACAAAAACAAGATGTATCAAACCTTCTGGTTTCGCTGATATGGCCAAAAACTGCGACAAACTAATCTTCTTATCTTGGAATAGCTGAAACAAACAAAACAAATGTAGTGTGATCCACCATTTGAGCAGAATGTCAAAATCTAATTTTACGAAAATCGTACGTTCAAAATTTAAGAAAATAAAGAAAAGCATATTAATCATACCATCAACAAAAAAATATTGCAATATATATAGTGCGCGCCAGCATAACTTCATTTTTTCAAAACTTAAGTAAAAACCCAATGTATGATCAGAACATTTTTTAATTGTTTACAATGTACAGTAGCGGACAAAAGTTTGGAAACAAATTTTTATTCTTTATTATTAAGGACTATTTTTTTTCTCATATAGTTTGCTTACAGTCTTGAGGATACAAATGACAATTTGTGTTTGCTGTGGTGCTACAGACTAGCATTAAAATACCTTCATATTATTTTATGACCAAAAATGAGACGACAAATGTATGGAAACATATTTTTGATTACAAAATTAAATACAATAGCTCTACAAAAAGATTTAAAAAATACTGTTTAGCTAATATTTGGTATCATAGCGTTCAACATTCAACACTGCCTGACATTTGTTGCTTATAGAAGACACAAATTTTTTACAGACATCTGTTGGGATAATTTGCCAAATATTTTTTACATAATCAAATAAATCGTTCCTATTTTTTTAAGTTTTTCTTGTTAAATGTTTTCCTCCCAGAGATGTTCTATAGGGTTTAGGTCCGGGGATTGCGAACATTAACATTTTTTAGCCTTAACCAGTCCTTCACGAATTTTGAGGTATGTTTAGGGTCATTATATTGCTGGAATGTCCATCGTAAAGGCATTTCTTCTTCAGCAAAAGAGAGCATATGTGTTCACTAAGAATATCTTTGTAAAGTTTTTGATCCATTTTCCCAACATATTTTAACAATTGGACCCGTTCCAGAACTAGAAAAACAACCCCAAACCATGATGTTGCCTCCACCGGGCTTAACTGTTGGCAACTGATACTTTTTGTCGAATCTTCTTCGTATTATGCCGTACCGTCAGATCAAAACAAGTTAAATTTGCTTTCATCGCTCCATAAAAGTGTAGTCCATTGTTGTTATGTACAAGTTAGATGAGTTCTAGCAAATTCTAGCCGAGAATACGATTTTTTTTAAATGCGAGGTTTTTGCACTGGGCGCCTACCAAAAAGCCCAAAATCCACCAAGCGTCTCTGCACTGTTATGACAGAAAGATTCTCGGCACCCTCTTCTACGATTCTTTTGAAAATCTGTGTGGCTGCCATTCGAAGATCTTCATGGGACAAACGTTCACATAATCTTTTTTTTTTCGGTCTTCCGCACCTGGGCCGCGTTGCTGTTGATCCCTATTCTTGATATTTACTAATAATTTTCGAAATCGTCCCTTGTTTCATTTTTAATCTTTGAGAATTGTCAACATTTCTAACAACTTCTAAGTAATTAAGTGACTTTGTCACTTAAATCTTTTGAAAATTCTTTTACTTTTGCCATTCTCACTCCATACTTTTGTCGTTACAAAAACTGCGGTATTCAAAAAAACGCGTGTTTTTATTTCCAGAGAATTTGAATATTGATAAGATAAACACGGAAGCCAAAGGTAGACTTTAATTTTTATATTATCTGTTCCCAATTTCAATTTAGGTATATTAAATAGTTCATAATAATGTTAATATTTATTTCAAAACTTTTGTCCGCTACTGTAGTTAAGTTTCATATAGTTTTGAAGATGAAATCAGAAATGTCCCCCGTTCTCCGTCCCTGGACGTTTCACATAAACACCAGAGAAAAAATCACAAGGGGCCAAATCGAGAGAGCGGACCGGTCACTCCAAATCGCCCCTAATTGAGATTAGGCGCTCTGGGAAATGTTCCCTTAAATCAGCTATCGATGCACTTGAAGTATGTGCCTTTGGAACCAAATATCCCCAAGTCCAACTTATCTGACCGCGGAAAAAATATCCTGTAAAATGTTTACATACCGGTCCGAATTCAGTCACGCGACTATATTTTACTCAAAGAGCCAGGACCGATAATTCCAGCTGAGAAATTGCGCACCTCACTGTGACTTTAGGTGAATGTAAAGGGCCTGGATGCAATTCTCGAGGTAGCGCATGTTTTGTTTGTCCACACGAAAATGGGGTTCATCATTAGAAATCAATAGCGTCTTCAGGAACGACTTCGGGCGCTGGGTAACGATCACAGAACATCCAATCAAAAAGTTGGTGACTACTGAACTGTGTCAGGACTTCATAGTCCCGCCTCTCCAACGAGGCCACTGGCGCTCCACTACGATATCAACCAACTGAATGGCGGGCATTTTAAAAAAGAAAGTTATGCTGCCGCACACAGTATTTCAAAAATTGTACAGAGAGACCATATCTGCAAGATGAATTACTTCTAGAGTTTCCCATATCTTAGTATGTATTCCAAAAAAATGGTGTATAACACTATAATTCCTCCCCAGTTTTTATATTGTTCCACCATCTTGTTTACAGCAAATGAAAACATGTTTTCAAAACTACAAATTCTACAAATAAAGCTATGAGAATCATTTTAAATAAAAATAAATATGCTAGGATTAAGTCTATGTTAGAAGAACTGCAGTGGTTAGATGTGAAAAATTTCATATATTATTTAGTTCTCGTTTTCATATTCAAATTAAAAAATCATTTATTACCACCACATTTAGAGAACTTCGCAAAATTAAATAATCATTATCATAACTATGAAACTAGAGGCAGTATAGATTTTCATCTGCAAAATTGTAATAGTAACATAACTAGTAAATCTATATTTCAAAAGGCAGTATTTGAATTTAATAAATTGAATAATGATATTAAACAGAGTTCGAATTTAAAAATGTTTAAGGTGCAATTGAAGAATCACTTTATGAATAATCAAAATGCATAGGGACGTAATTTTAATAGACAAGAATCTAAAATTACAGAAAATGGATTGAAGAAAAATATGTAACCGAATCATTATACACAATTGACATTGTAGCATTAATGCTAAAAAAATCTTCAACAACAACAAGGACATTTTAATGGAATACTACAGAAACTTCAGTTTATAAACAGTTCAGTGCATTTTAGTATGCATTTTTTATAAACTTTAAGACTCATCTGTGACCGTGCAAAAGTGTCTAAGTATGTATTTTTTCTTAGCAACAAAAGGTGGTAGACACATCCGTTTGTTTTAAAATGTCTATAATAACGTATGTTTTCGAATATCCTGTCGTATCTGTTCAATTACTCTCAAATACGAAATGTGTGAATTTGTTTAGAAGAAAAAAAAACCTCTGTTTTTCGCATAAAAACACTTATCTTTCGGAATGATTTGTGATTCATATCGTCAAGGTAGATTCATGTATTTTGCTATGAAATGCCCTTTGAACGAACCCTGTATATTGCTCAATAAACTAGTTGTGATGGCCGGAAAACAGGTCTTTTGGGATAAGCAATCAAAAGTTCTCAAACACGACCTGATCAATCTACTCAAATTTTGTTGTGGTCATTAAGAAGTTTGAAGCTTACGAATTTGAAGAATTTCAAGTATCTATCGTCGCATTTCTAACAATTTTCAGCCATAACTTTTTTGCTATTAGTCGGATCTTTTTACGTGTGGTCTCATTTTTTAGGTCTCGCAAATACATAAAAATCTTATTCAAAGAGTATTTACGTTCCTGCCAACACTTTCGACTGAATCCCAAAAAACACGTTTTCTCTTTCTTTGTTGTCGAATAAAAACTTTTTCCACAAAAATTTGTGTACGCATTTTATGCGTCCATGTTTTAAATACTTGCCAATAAAACCAAACTTTAACAATTATGTCGCAAACAAGGGGTATTTTCGTCTAATATGATTAGACTAATTTATATCAAACAATATAAAGTGCCATTAATGCTTGTTGAAAACACGGTAAACAGATAAACATCATGCAAAACTTGAGATACCTTAGATACTTCGTCCTTGGAGTCCAGCGCCACCTTAGCAGCGCCCGCATTCTTGTGATTCTTGCCAGAGCCTGAAAGAGATTGCTTGCTGCCCGAATTGGGAGATATCTGGGGCATTATGGGCATCTGAAGCGATGCATCCCCAATAAAAAAGTTCTGGTCGTACTTTTGCATAGGTTGGGGTAGGAATGTCGGTCCGACAGAGGCCGGGGGAGGAACGGGGGAGGGTACGGGACCGGGGGCGATCACGGGACCCGAAGGCATGAATGCCTGCATCATGGGAGCTGGCTGCATAGGGTGAGGCACCTGCTGTGGGGCTGGCAAGACCTGAAAATGAGAAATGGAGTCAAGGAGATCGACTAAACCGCTTTCACTTATAGTATACCGGGTGCTTCAAATACGACTCTCACCATTGAGATGTCGGAAACGGTAAGAGATACGAAGTACGTTAAGTAATAATATTTATTTACTACTAAAATGCAATATAAAGAATGAGTAAATAAATATCAAGTAACGGTCCATAGGAGACATTGCCTGTACATGGACCATTGATGTTGCAATTGTACATACCTATTATTGAAATAGAGATACAAATAAGCATTATTTGACGTTCACATTACTATTAATTTGTGTACGTCTGGTCTTGTTGGAGAAAAAGTCCATTCTTTTAACTTTTTCTTGAAATTATTCCCTTTATATCCTAAGGTAAATTTACGTATAATTGGACCTAAATAAAGGTACCATCGTTATGTAATATACATAGTTATTAGGTCTAGGTAAAACTGTTCCTCTTAGTTTGTGGCTTGTGTGGTGGTTGTGTTTATTTTTTTGGTCGTTATTTATAAATTTCTAATAGTTGGTTATATCCTGCAAGAGACAGAGCTGCTTCAAGTCATATATGTACGTGTAATCAGTTGAATACAATTTTGGTTGGTTAAAATCATTCTTTGAAAAATATTCAAATCATAAATATTAGTTGAGCATGTAGTTCCCCATGGCAATACAGCGTAAGTTAAATGTGGCTCAATCAAGGTATGGTAAAAGGAATAGAGATATTTTTATTTTAAAATGTTTTTGATGTATTTAATTTTATCTATATGAGACACAGCTTACTTTTTTTAAAATACATGATATATTAGGAATGATAGAGAAAATAAACATTACATATATCAGTGACAATAATGACAGTTGACATGATAGCTGACGTGACATACATCCAATGCAATATGGCAGTCAAAATGCAGTGAGTTGTGCTCCTTTCCTTGTTATGGGGTTTTCATTAAGTGTCTGAAATTTTAATATGAATAAAACGAGTTGTGTGCAACATATGATGGAAACCTCAATTGCGTATTAAAGTACATTCAATACCATTACGTTGTAAAAATTACATCATTCAAATGGCCTCCGTGGCTCCGTTTACAGGACTGGATCCGAGAGGTCCAATTTTGTAAAAAATCTGGCTGCATAAGTCGGGTTGGATGTCATCAATGGTGTGAATGATGTCGTTCTCCAGTTGATGAATTGTTGTTGGTTTGTTGCCATAAACCAGCGACTTAACGTAACCCCAGGGAAAAGTCTAACGGCGTTAAGTCGCGCGATCTCGGAGGCCTTTCCTTTCCTGGAAATAACGCGCATTGGATTTTTTTTTGCAACAACTGCAATGTAATGATCCATGTGTGACACGTTACGCCGTCTTGTTGGAACCACATGTCGTTCAGGTCCATATCATCCAATTGAGGCAATAAAACGTCAGTTATCATGACCCGACACCGGGCGCCGTTGAGAGTCACCGTCTCGCCATTCTTGTTTTGGAAGATGTACGGTCCAATGACAAAGCCCACACCAAACAGTATATTTTTCCGGATGCAATAGAGACTCTTGATACTGTTGTGGGTTACTGTCACCCCAAATGCGTCATTTTGTTTATTCTAGCCGACCAAGTTATCAATTTCTAAATTCGTTGAAATAATTCTTCGTACCGCCTACCCTTGTAAAAATTCGTTGCATCCATAAAACCGAAATAAATATAAAAACTAAGGACAGAACAATCACATCTGCAAACCACTCAGCGAACGCCAAGGGAAGAGATAAAGCAAATTCATACTTCAAAGAAAATAGACAATAGCACCGGATGCTATAAAGTTGCTATAAATATAAAGTTTACAACCAAAGGAGTGCTGGGAAACTTGAAACTCAACGATTTGATTAGCAGATGTTAGAAGCTACCCCGGGCGCTGAATGGTCAAGCGACTTCCGAAGGCTAGCATATTACTGATATTTGTCATGATATGTGGGAAAATATGAAACAGAGGAGACAAACACCTAGGTTTTTAGTAGAATTTTCCCCTAGCTGATAGGAGTAGGTGCGCCAGGCTGGATACGATTGTACCTTCTGTCAACGTGCGCGTTGACAGTTGCGGTTTGGAAATTATCATTAGAGAGGAGCAGGTGAAACTAACGAAAGACTACGTAGTTCCCACGGAGCTAATTTTGCTAAATTGCATTAAAGTTCCAGAAGAAAGTCACCGTTAGTTTTACCTAAATGCTATGTAAAACTTTTATAATTATTTAAGAGGACATCTCGAATTGTGGCCTCAGCATCGCAGGAATTCCCAATCCATTCAAATTATTCAAAACTGCTGGGTCTGCCCCAAAGCAAATTGAGCCACGAGACGCCACTGAAGGGTGCGTGCTGTATAAACTTACGGGAAGACTATACGCAGACGACAGTCCTTGAGGTGGGACAAGGAAATGTAATTAGCCAATACAGTTTAAGGCAATTTTGAGTTCAAAAATTAAGTCCGACAATCATTGGCCAAGTTAGTTTCTATCTTTAGAAAATCAGACGGCCATTGCAAGGGTTGTAAACTGATCGACCAATGAGGAAGCAAGTGTTGAACTCACCAAGTAAAAATGACCAGCCTTCTGATGGAGGGGAAAATCCGCAACAGACCTCCGATAATTTTGAAACTAAAATCTTCAGTTCTTCTATTCGATTTGTACGATTGAAAAAGTTGCTTCGATTTTCACTCAGTTAGTGGCTGTTATTAAGTATTGCGTTGGTGAATTTTGTGCTAAGTTGTGTTCTCATCAGTAAGCACTTTCACTTACTTAAAAAGGGCTTTTCCCTTCTTTATTAGCCCTTCTGGCAAAAGCTAATATTTATAACACTGAGTTAACTAAGAATCCTATGCATTAGCTTAGTTACTTAGCCTTTCTTAAGTTGAGATTCTTGAGTTTAATTTTTGCTATTAAACTCAAACTTAAGTTTATTGTAAATTAGTTGTCACCATCCCTTTTAACTTAGTCGTAATTCACTCCTCCAGTGATCCGTTCCCCAGTCTATTAGTTTTACAGCGTTTGTCATTGCTACTTCACTCTTCACGAGTGTTTAGATATTTTGAGTCTGAAATTTAATTATCAATAAAGATTAGTCTCCTCTAACTTGAGTTTCATTAACTGAAGCTAACTGAGTTCGACGGTTCCGAAAATATTCATTCGGGCGTTTAGCACGTTCTCTGATTACTTGCAGAACAGAAGAAGCAATATTCTGCTTAAAGTGAGTGTTTCAATGAGTCATGATTCTATTATTTTGTCAGGTTCTACGCGAGTCTACCTCCTATAGGAAGACAAGTAAAAGGAAACAGAATTTGAAATTCGAGGGGTCTCGGACCAGTCCAGAAATTGAAGTATTGGATTGGAGATCCGAACTATGGCACAAGGCACAACATTGAGAGGTCCGGGAGTCTCTGACGAAGATCATATTACATTATTCACGAAGCCGTTTAACCAAAAATGTGGTTCATAACTGAAAATGATTTTTTTGCCAAAATATGGATCCGCTCCCAACTGTTCCAGAGCCCAATCTGCGAAAATACAACGCGCTTGGTGGTCTTGGGGCTTCCGTTCTTGCGTCAACTTGATCTTATATGGATACCTGCCCAAGTACTTTCGTAAAATTCTCCAAGTCGAGGTCGCAGAAAGGCCAATTGCTTGTGCATGACACGGAATCGAAAGCTTGATCGCCCGTTTCTGCGTCTTACAGTAACTGCTCGAATTTGGCCATAATTCGTTGAATTCTTCGCTCCGTTGGACGATTATTTCGGCTATAAATGTTTTCGTAGCTCGCGAAAAGTTTGAAGAATAGAACACGGATTTTTATAATAGATTTTAAAAATTGCGACACGTTCTCGCACAGTGTAACGCCAATGATAGCCGCGCCGCCTAAAACGTAAGAGCAAGATGTTGCCAATTTTCGGACCTAGAAAAAACCCTTTATATATTTTGTGATATCAACTACTTTTGAGCAAAATATGATGTTGGACGCAATCAAAAGGTTTAGTAAGATCATAGAAGCTAACTAGAGCGATCAAGTTATCTTCAAGGCATTTGTTGATGAAACTGACATTGACGGTTACAATACTTCCTCGCCAGTGGGGTACGTTTAATCCTTACCTGTAGGTGTGGCATAGGCTGCGGCGCTATTAATGCCTGGGGTCCCATTGGCGGGTACATCGGCCCGCCGTGGGGAGGTCCCTGCACCTGCATGGGCATCTGTGGTCTACCAGTCTCATTCAGCTTCTCGACGATCTCCTGCAAGAAAGACTTCTCCTTCCTAGGCCGCTTAGGGCTGCGCGTTCTGCTCCTGCGTCTGCGCCTGTCTCGTTCGCGGGACGGAGACCGCCTACGTACAGGGGAGTACCGCCTCCCGCCACGGTATGGCGGGCTGGAGCTCCTACTACTTCGTCTGAAATAGATAGTTACAATGGTAGCCTAATAGATTAGCAAATTTCCCCGAAATAATTTTAAAGTCTGGTTTTATTGGTGCAAGTTTTTAAAGGAGGTATTTAAAACATGGACGCATAAAATTGGTGCACACATTTTTGTGGGAAAACTTTTCATTTGACAACAAATAAAACGTGTTTTTTGGGATTCAATCCAAAATGTTGACAGGAACGAAAAAACTTTTCTTAAAAGATTTTTTAGGTATTCATGAGACCTGCAAAATGAGAACACACGTAAAAAGATCCGACTAATAGCAAAAAAATGAGGCAAAATGCAGGTTTTGGAACTTGATGGTAATGCGACGATAATTACACGCAACTACTTGAAATTCTTCAAATCTGTAGTATTCATACTTCGAAATAACAACAACAAAATTGGAGTATATTGGTCAAGTAGTTTTTTGAGAATTTCTAATTGTTTATCCCAAAACACCTGTTTTTCGGCCATCACTACTACAACTACTTTATTGAGCAATATACAGGGTTCGTTCAACGAGCATTTAATAGCAAAATACACGTGTTTACCTTGCCGATATGAAACATAAACCATTCCGAAAAAAAAAAATGTTATATGCGAAAAACAAAGGTTACGTTTTTTTTTATTCTAAACAAATTCAAACATTTCGCATTTGTGAGTAATTGAAGAAATGCGCTACGATATTCGAAAAACATACGTTACCATACACACTTTAAAATAAACCGGATGTGTCTATCATCTTTTGTTGCGGATTACTCACAAATACGAAATGTTTGAATTTGTTTAGAAGAAAAAACGTAACCTATCCTTTTTCGCATAAAAATAACATTTATCTAATGATTTGCGATTCATATCACCAAGGTAAACTAGTGTATTTAGCTATAAAATGGCCTTTGAACTAACCCTGTATATTGCTCAATAAACTAGTAGTGATGGCCGGAAAACATGTGTTTTGGGATAAACAATTAAAAATTCTCAAAAACTACTTGACCAATCTACTCCAATTTTGTTGTGGTTATTTAGAACTACAAATTTGAAGAATTTCAAATATCTGGAGAAACCATCGTCGCACTACCAACAAGTGCCAAAACCTGCAGTTTGCCTCGGTTTTCGGCCATAACTTTTTTGGTATTAGTCCGATCTTTTTAGGTGCGGTCTCACTTTGTTGGTTTTATAAATATCTAAAAATTTTATATGAAGAGTTTTTTCGTTCCTGCCAACACTTTCCAATGAATCCAAAAAGTACATTTTCTCATTCTTTGTTGTCAAATAAAAAGTTTTCCCACAAAAATGTACCCATTTTATGCGACCATGTTTTAAATACCCCTTTGAACAACTTGCAGCAATAAAAACCAGACTTTACAATTATTTCGCAAACCAGGGGTATTTTCATCTAGTATGATTAGACTATTGGGAGTAATATGGAAATATAGATGTAGATGCTGGTTCTACTCATACTTTAGAAGAGATGTTAATGCATCCTGTGATTTACATGGTATAGCTGGTGGAAATTCATTTATTAAACCTTTAATAAGAGAAACGTTGCTAGGGCAACCTTTTTCGACCTAACGAAAGGTTTCGATTGTGTTTCTCATGCTTTACTGGTAGAAAAACTGTCCAAATATGGTTTTGATAATAACAGTCTTCAACTTATAACTTCACACCTCGATCAAGGTATGTAGCACTGGACAAAGAGAGATCAAACATGCAGACGGTTTGGTTAGGGTTCCATTCGACATCCCACTTTGTTCATAACTTTTATTAATGACATCTTCAAATACAACACCCAACATCTATATGCTGATGACACTACCTCTAACTCCAGTGGAGACAAACTTGAAAACCTTAGCCAAGAAACTGCAATGAATGTTGAGTACACTGAAGACTGGTTCTATGCAAATACTCTAGCCTTAAACAAAGACAAAATATAAACAAGTTCTCATTGGGATACCATGGCAACAATGTCTATGTAAAATCTCTTGGCTTTCATTTGGACAGTTGTTTAAACTGGAACCTTCCACCTTCTCAGAATGTCGTTTTGCAAGCTTATTATAGCTATGTTACTTTCACTCCCACATGGCTATGGAATACTGTTGTGTGGACACTCCTTGCATGTTTCTATAGAGTTTTTGCAATTCAAATAAAATACGTGAGGGTGATAACAGGACTAGAATACCGGAATTCATGGGTAGATGCATTTATCAAAATTGCTATTTTGACACAAAGGCGTATATATATATATATATATATATATATTTAAATGTCTAGTTTATGTCAGGGACATATAAGCAACTAGATCAACATAGATACCAAACCAGATTTGGTCAAAATTTAGTAGTTCTATATAGTAAGGTGCAGAGAGCCCGAGATGGGCATAACTACTCAGGTACTAAGTTTTACAATGTTTTACCAGTCAGTGAAGTCACTAAATACAGAACATTTTAAGAAGGTACTGAAGGGATATTTAATTAGGAAAGCCTTTTATAAGATATCCGAAATTATGGAACACGATTTTAGTGATCTGTTTAAATGTGTCTTGTATATGTCATTGTTTCCTCGTCCTCATATGTTATGTGTATTTTAAATCTAACCGGTTTTCTTTTTATGAATTGTGTAAATGCATATACAACGCCAATAAAAATTATTGTTAATCCCCTGCTTGTCTGGCTAATAACATCACATATACTGACAGATCTTTACTGTAAAGGTTTCAATCACACAGGTGATCTCCTTCAGTTCAATGAAAATATACATGTTGGTCTTCCAGGTGACAGTTCATTTATTTTTTCTTTTCAGTATCACATTCATATACAGTATGTTACTACAGTAAACTGAAACACGCTGAAACTGCGCAAAGCCATGGCACGACAAGCGAGTATGAGGCTATCTTTTTTAATGTACCAGATACGGCGCCCTCGTCCATCGTCCAGAAAACACCAAAAGCCCCCCCAAAAAACGAAAACATGCCCAGAACTTTTGCCGCAACACATCGCTTAATTATTATGCAATCTCACAGGACAAACAACGTGGTTCCCTTTAGATGATGAAGCAGTATTACTCGTGTTTCACATGCAAAACAATGCAACATTTTAGTCGAACATCGTTGACATGCTGTGCAAAAGTTGCATACTAGCTGTATCTGGTCATTTTAAACAGCTAAAGAAACCTCACATTTATTTTATTACTATTCTTTTAATTTCTGTAATTACCTGTAAAATGGACTTCCCCTGCCCCTTGGGCTCGTTTTTCTTAAAGGACTTCTCCTATCGCGCGAACTACCTCTTCTTGGACTGCTTCTTCTGTCATCCCTCTTTTCTCGTATGGGACTGAGACTTATCTGTTCTGCTCTAGCAATTTCATTGATAAGTGCCCTTCTCATTGGGGAATTCATTTCCTGTGCTGGACTACGTTTCCTACGAGGGCTTCTTTTAGGGGATCTTCTAGGACTCCGTCTTAGTGAAAAATTTATTTATTATTTCTTAACATTCTAATTAAATTGTAACATCTATATATGTCGAATTTATGTACTAATACGTACTGAATTCTATCGATACATTATCCTACATGTTCAACAAATGCCACATTCAATGATAAATCCTGATAATATGCAATAGATACTGAACATGTAGCATTTTCATAAGTTTAATATGTAGGCTCTTAGCCTTCATGCAAATCCAAGGCCTAAAAGTCATTAGCACGGAAAAGATCATCAAAACTGTACCTGAAGATGAAGGCAGATCCTACATTGATAATGCCCACGGACGCAACGGTCCCAATGTACAATTTCGATAAAAACTGTCAAATGATAGTACCAGGAACAAAAGAAGGCGTGGGTAAAGGTACGTCCTATACATGCCATAAGCTACTGGTGTATACGGACGGCTTCAAAACTGAAGTCGTCGTTGGAGCCGCGATTTATGGGATAAGGCCAAAAGCAGAAATCTCTATAAATCTAGGTACAATAGCAACAATATTTCAGGCTAAAGCAACAGCCTTACAAGTACGTGTAAAAGAGCTAATAAGGAAGGAGACTGTAAATCAGTCGATCGTCATCTGCTCAGGCACACAGAAAACCTGCACTTACAGAGGACCTACTCGAATTTACTAGGAAGGCCATATGGACCATAGTGGGTCTCCTAACAGGACACTGTCGTCTAAATTGACATATGGTTCTGGCAAACGAGGCACGTGCTGTTTCTGCAGAGAGTAAGAGAAAGCCCCAGTGCATCTCTTGTGTCTCTAGGAAGGCCTGGCAAGCCTTCAGATTCAGAAATTAGGAACCACAACTCCAACAGCGGAAAGCTACATGCAAAGCCCTGTGTCAAGATAATGGAGCCAGATTAGAGGATCAAGCCTGGACACAGTGCTTTAGATACAATAGGTCCATATGGCTAGCAAGCCAACTACTTTTCTGTAATCTGTAGCCTTTATGCAGGAAGATTTGTCCAACCATTGCAAGCCAGGAGTTTTTAGGTATGCCTGTAATCAATCTATACTAGTGTAACAAAACAGATATAGCTAGTAGGACAGGCTAATCAAGAGGTTCACAAACTTATTCATATTCTGTCTACAGCCCATGTTGAGAATCAATTATTTACTAGTGCCCCCAAAATTTCTTTAATAAATGGTATGACTTATCCAATTTAACCATTGGATCCCCTTCCCAAATCAATTCATCAGCTCCCAATTTACAACAATCCCCACCCCCATAGCTCCCCAGCACCCACAAAAGGGTATTAACGTATTAATACTGATTCTCGTCAATTTTGGTCATATGTATGCCAGACCAGAATATCTAATGTTATGTCTCAAGGTGAGGAAACATTTTCAAATCCACAAGATAATGTTGATCAATTTGTTGAACTATGCAATCAAGTCTATACAAATTCAACAGATTCTAAAGCGACACTGCTACACATACTTCAATTCATAATATCATAATTGATGATATTACTGAAATGGAAATCATCCATGCCCATGCAGCAAAAAAGTTGACAAATAAAATGGCTTCATGTTGCAATAAGATACCACCTCCTTTTTGGTTAAAGATTGTATCCCTGTTTTAGCACATCCCTCAAGAATTATATATAATTATGCAATGAAATCTTGTACATTTTCTCAAGCATGGAAGGGATCCATTTGTCCCAACAGGTGATAAATCTATTATCTCCAATTACCGTGCCATATTCATTCTCACGAACTTTTCTATACCCTGCAGTTCTTACTAGTATCATTCCGTCGCAACATAGATTTATGAGTAAAAGATCAACAGAAACTAATCTGGTATTTTTTACACAAGAACTATTGAAAAGTCTGGATCAAGGTGGTCAACTCGTTGTAATCTCTACATGCAGGAATTCAGAGTGACAAGCCGATCTCTGCTGCTGCACTGGAAACAAGAAGACTAGCGACGACTTCCTCTCTGACGAGAGACCTAGAGCTTATCACTGCTTGGGGACGCAACAATCTTGTACAGTTTAATGCTTCCAAAACACAGTACTGTACTTTGACGAACAAAAAGCGTCCTGGCGCTCATCCGGTTTCAATGGATGGCCGAGTTCGGCCAAAAAGTCATTCATTTCGGCTGGTCGGAGTCCAGGATCACCGAGGACCTGACCTGGCACATACACATCTCATTAATAGCGGCAGCTGCTGGAAAAAAGCTAGGCTATTTGTTTAGGGCTAAGAAGTACTTTTCTTCGCATGACCTTCTCACTCTATACAAGGCCCAGATAAGGCCTAGCCTCGAGTATTGCTCACACGTTAAGGGTGCTGCCGCCTGGACTACATTATTTATGCTCGATCCTGTCTAGAGGAGGGCTATCCAACTGATCGATGACTTTTCTCTAACACAGTCTCGGGACCCTTTCGCACCGGCGGCGGCGGGTCGTCGGCGATCTAGCTCTCTTCTACAGCTACACCAACGGGCTTTGCTCCTCGAAATTCTCTTCCATGATGCCGCCGTGCGATGTGCCTGCCCGACAGACCCGCCTGACTTTGGCATCCCATCCTAGACGTGTCGAATTTCGTACATCCAGAACTGGCCGATACGATTACTCCTTGAACCCGAGAGTCTCCAGATTAAGGAACAATTTACGAGAGGAAGCTTTTCCCAGTTCTACTAACATTAGGCAGTTCAAAAATCGGATTAACAAAATTTCTTTGGGATCATCATAGCAGCCGCGGTGTACCGGCATTTAGGCTTCTGCCCGTGCAGCTGCTTCGGTATAAAAAAAATCTACACTGACTTTTCAAAAACTTTTGATGAAATGGATCATGGTGTTCTTCTTAAACAAAAATTGGTAATTTCAGTAGAGTAGTTAATTCAGGCGTTCTCCACAAGGATCAAACTCAGGCCCACTACTATTTAATATGTTCATTAATGATTTGGATAATGTCATTGAAACCCATCATTGGAAATCGCTGATCATTTGATAGTTAAGCAACATTGAAATGTATATTTGTTTCTTATGTATGTTCTAAACTGGAGAAGTGTTTAAAAAGCACTACATAATATCCAGAACAAGGAAGTGAGCATAGTCTTTTGTTAAACCTTTTTGAAATTGACAGTTTGGAGCTCAGATGGGGACTGTCATCTCTATCATTAATGTTCTTAATTGTCCAGATCTTTTAATGCAAATTAAATTTAATGAATCCCAGTTAAAATGAAGACAGTCATTAATATTTTATACTACTGCTGCTACGAGAAGTCTAATGTTGAAATCACCATTATATGTGTCCACATTATAATAAGATATCGCAGCATGTTGACATATTTAATTATGATCTCAAGGAACTAAAGTGTGCTCCTGTAGATAGTCTAGGTTTTTTTTTATTTTATATTGCTCTGTAAAGGAATTCTGTATCTGTTGGGCAATAAATGCTAGTATTATTATTATTACTTTTAAGAAAGACTGGACTAAGCTTAGAACGGCTTATTTATTATTAGAACAAAATCCTAGAGTAACTGTTAGAAAAAAGGTTTCCCACTCCCAAGTATTCTAGGTGCTTGGGCGTCAATGAAATATGGCGGTTGGCAGGTTGCTGTTCCCAGGGGTTGATAGGTGGGTCAACATATACCTTCTGGAAAGACAGTCCCATCGCCCATCTGTTAGAAGCATTGTTTTTGGTGCAGAAAGATAGAGATAGGCTCACTCATTTTGAAGCATGCTTGGTAAGCTGATTTTCATCCTACTTCTCATTGCACTCTGCATTTTATGGAGAATCGACCATACATATTAGAAAAAAGAAACAAGCGAAAACAAGAGAATCTATTTTTCTTGTGTAGTGCACTGAGTTGGTGGCCAATTGTTTATCAAAAACAGTATTTTGCTCACTGTGTTTTAGCTACACCAGCAGAGATGAGGAATCATACCCATAGAAAAGAAGCAAAAACAACAGATCAATTTTTCTTACATATTGTGCTGGGTTGTCAGAAAGTTGACAGCCAGTTGTTTACAAAAACAATATTCTGACCACCACGTTTTAGCTTTTTGTGGCACAGATTCTCATAATATTATATATCATAAATAATAAACTAAAATAGCAGCATGAAAAGGAAGCAGGGGGGGCAGTTGGCCAACTGTACACACTTCACCATGGTAAGCCTGTTTTCAATCATTTCCTCCCTTGAAACAAATACTTCTCACATATGAGACATCCAACAGTCCCGCTTGGGGGTCCATATTGACCCACCTGTCAACCACTGGGGACTGCAACCTGCCTACTAATATATCCTCTATGATTTTGTGTAATTACCTCCCCTACTAATTGGCTATGGAGAAGATTAGTATGTAAATAGCAAGTTAGATAATGAAAATTGTTTGCAGAATTCTTAACTTACCTTTCAGTTGACCTTTTCCTTTTTGGTGAATTTCTCCCACGACTGGAAGACCTTCTTCGAGGAGACCTTCTTCTTGGTGATCTGCTTTTAGGTCTTTGAAGTTTATCTAACTCCTCTTTCATCTGCTCAATTTCGTTTCTTTGTCTCTTAATTTCATCTACATCTATTTCCATTTCCATACCTGGTGGGACTAATCCAGTTTCCACTAATGACAGTTTCTCTGTGATAAGTTTCTTTTCCTTATCTTTCTCACAGCGCTCCTTATCACGTTCAATATCACGTTTTGTTTTCTTTGGGTCCCTACGTGAATCAGACACATAGGATTCATCTTTTTTCTTATCTTCAGTCTCTGTCTTTCTACTTTTTTTATCGTCAGACCCTGCCTTTTTACTTTTCTTATCTTCAGTTTCCACCTTCTTACAGGATGACACAGAACTTTTATGATCAGATGTTCGGACTTGTGACTTTGACTCTTTTCCTTGGTTGTTTTTGCTCACAGAGGCTTTATCTTTATTTGCAAGATTTTGCACTCTTTCATTGGTCGGTCTCTTTGCTATCCTTGCTTTTACACCTGGCCTTGATTTAACAGACTTTTGAGCTTCTGTATCTTTATCAATTTCCTCAGCTGCAGTTGTTTCATCTACTTCTTCATCCTCATCTACTACGTCGAGTCCAGCCATAAAATCGTCTTTGAGGAAGTCATCAAAAAAGTCTCCAGGAATGTCATCATCGTCAGTTGCTTCTTGATTGGTTCCCTTCTCTTTGCCCTTTGGAGAGCTTAGCTTCAATATATTCCAATCAGAACTAGAAATTTTCATTGACGATTTATCTTCGTTTTTCTCTTGATCTGCTTTGGGACCATTGTGCTTCTGGTCAGCGTTGTCTGAATTATCAGCCTCCATATTACATTTGCTGAACGACAAGTCAATGTGTTTTATAAAACTTATTAGAAAACTGATTTTGGTAAAATTAGATGTTTCCTACAGCATGCTTTTATCAAACTCATGCCCGGTAGGGTTGTTCCAAATAAATCAATATAAACGCATCTATAAAACAACTGTTTATGAGCGGTTTGGTTTTTTGAATTTACGATATGAAAATACACACTGTTGCTCATTAAAGATCTAAGAAAATACAAAAACTATCCCTTAGCACTTACTCAAAAAGATAAAAATCGATTTTTGATTAGTATGCATGTTTTCAGATTTTTAACAAGCTTGTCATATGTCAATCATTCCACCAACTTGTCATTTGTCATGCTCTGTCAATAAGATGAACTAGACTTAAATCAAGTGAGATATTTCTTACTTAAAGAATCTACAGTGACGTTGTCTGGGTGAAATACATAATTATCAAATTAGTAGATAGTGGAATAAGACCACATTGAAAATAATACATCCCCAAGAACTCACAATCATTTATCTATAAATGAAAACTCATTCAATTTTGAATGGGGAATGCACAATTGTATAATCAGTGTATGTTTTAAGATCTTCAGTTTAGACTGTACTCAATGGTTTCCGCCTTTGTTCGTCTCAGGGGGTAGGGTGCATCGGCTGTATTAGTGCTTCTGCGTCTGAGAACGAATATCGTTGCGAAGAGGAGGGGGAGTTGTATAAAAATAGTATTGATTATATCAATTCGCTCACGAAATGCTTCAATATACGTTTTTTATACGGAAATATAATCGTATGCTCTCTGCTATCTGTAACTGAGGAGTGGGTGCAAATCCGGTTCAGAGTTTTCTGACTGCACTCCGATTGTTGTTCCGTAGTTCTGTCGTTCTGTGTTTTGTGGATTTGTTTGAAATGAAAACAAAAAAGGAGCGAAAAACGGTTAGGTCTTGGAATACCCAAAAAGTTCTACAAAAAAGCAAGGAAAAATATTAATTTCCTTCTAGATAGTTCGAAATATTCCGTTATTCACGTAATATTTAGCAAGTGATAGAAGCATGGCGTCTCCTGTAGGAAGATTATATTCAGCAGCATCTGCAGGAAGTAAGTAAAATATATTAGGTACGACCGCTTTGAAAATAGCTTGACGGGCGCAGCAAAATAATGAAAACTTTGCTTTAAAGCATGTCTGGCGGTTCAACTTGTAAGTCACATCATGAAGCTATCGTCAATTCTGGAGGGTTTTTTAAAATTCAATAACCTGTTGTACTACAGAATTATAACTTGAAAGTATATGAAAATACATAATACATTATTATGTATCGAGAGATACAAAAAATAGGAAACTTTATATTTATTTTTTCCCAGAAAATTAATATATATAACAGTTAATCTGAATTCTGCTAAAAAAATCATTTAAAAGTGCTCCACTGTTTACTAATTGGTCATATTTTTTTTTTGAGAAAAATGACCTTTGTTGATGAGCTTTCCAGCCACTTTGGATCAATCAAATGGCCACTGATTCTGTTGGTAGAGTCTTTTAGTTTCATCATATTACAAGATAAGGGATACTCTAATTTCTTATACTAAGCATGTACAAAAGTGTTGCAAAGGATAGGTAAATTTATTTTTACATTATAAGCAACTAGAATAAGTTGATGGTTTTTTACAGTCATAATTATGATGCTCATTGCCTATAACCTGATGAAAAATACATGTTGACAGTTAATTATCATTTTTGGGGGTCAAAATTATGTTTTTTCTCAAAGAAATCTCCATAACAGTTAGTCACCAACATGAAAAAAGATTTGATGTTTATTAAACTGCCTGTTTAGAAACATACATATTGTTTTATATTGTTACTTCAAATACCTTACTAAGGTAAGGCATTCCAGAGTGAATTCAAATGATGTCATGGGTTTTCCAAGTAGGTAGTTTGATTTTATTCTACAAAATATCTTTTTCTGTAATATAAGTGTTTTTTGAAATCTGAAAACTACACCAACAATTTTAGTGCTATTAGAAGTAATTCTATTTATTTATGAGGAATATATTAAATGGTATTCAGTGTGCTGTATATAAACATATACACAGGCTTGTTAAGGTGTTTGAATGCTAGTTCAAAATGGACATGAGCTTGACCCACCAAGCAGGGGCGATTGTATTACCCCTAAATATCGCTTCAACCGCATGTTTGTTGTGGAGTATCCAACGAGGGAGGAGTAGGATGCTGGTAGCCGGGGACTCTCCGGAGTGAGCGGGCAGGTCTGGTACACGGACGGCTCGGTCACCGAAGAGGGCTCAGGTGCTGGGGTCTCTGGGCCTAGAACGAGGCTATCTCTGCCTCTTGGTGGATACACCACCATTTTCCAGGCGAAAATCTTTGCGATTCTGGCTTGTGTATCTCACATTCTGGAGGAGGGTGGGCCTAGGAGAAGAATAACAATCTTATCCGACAGCCAGGCTGCACTGAAAGCACTAAGTGCCTGTAAGATTACTTCGAGTCTTGTATTGCAATGCAGGGAGGCTCTCTATTGCTTCGCAGCGAAGCATCCGGTATCGTTAATATGGGTACCGGGGTACGCTGGGATAAGGGGCAATGAGACGGGCGAAGACAGGATCAGCCAGCAAGCTCGTTGGTCCTGAGCCAGCTCTAGGAGTGACCGCGCATAAAGCTAGGAGGAAAATGGAGACGTGGGTTGCAAGACAACACTCTCAGAAATGGAGAAGTATCTCCAGACATCTCCGCCAGGCACGAGAACTCATTGAAGGGTCCAGTGCTAAGGATGGACGCTTCTGCCTATCTCTGGATAGAGCCAACCTAAGGTTGCTGGTGGGACTGTTGTCTGGCCATAGCACGTTAAGGCGTCACCTGCACGTGATGGGGGTGGCTGAGGATCCCTTGTGTGAACGCTGCGGGGTAGAGGAAGAGACCTCGGCGCACGTTTTGTGTCGCTGTGAAGCTCTGAGCTACTATAGGCAGACTATACTGGGGTCCATTACTTTGGACCCTCAGGACCTCAAGGAGCTTGGACTCAAGGCGATTCTCAACTTCTCTAAAAGGGGGAGGCTTGTGATATAAGGATTGTAGAGGTGCAAGGGCCCGCTTAAGTGGCCTATGCACTGCCTCCTTATGGTGGCCGGAATGCCTCTAATTTCAAGATTCATTCATTCGAACCACCATTCAACCATGCTATAGGTGTGACATATTCTCCATTTAGCCCCTGCTGGTCTAAAAAGGTTCTTTTTTCTATCAGAGTGTGCATTTTTCATCAACCTTTCAGTGGTGGGCATCAATATGAATCGTTGGCAACACTTTTACATGGTTAGTATAACAAAATCTGGTATTTGTTTTAATAAGGTACTAAACTGAGTTCCTAGCAAAAGAAAGGGCCACTTATGGAGCTAAAAAGTTAGTAACAATTACAAATGTACTGAAATCATTGAGCGTTTTTGAATAAATGTTTGTTTTTTATGTCAAGCAACTGAAGGGCTTAAACCCTTAGCTATTATATTGGATTAACTGTTATGTATTTTCCAGTAAAAAATATATGTTGAAACATTTTTTTGTAATAACATTTAACCTTCACTATTAAAGCAAATTGATACAGTAAGGTCTTATTTTGAAGGACCACACCAATACTTCATGACTCTTTGAATATATGCGAGGAAGTGATTTTTCCAACATTATTTTAGAGAAAAATAACCCCTCAGCAAATTTTTTTGTATCTCTTGATGAGAGGCATTTTTCATATACTCTCACGAATATAATTCTGTTGCTTATTCCGATTTTTTTTGTTTTCACAAAAAAAGCATTGTTATCTAGTTCTTGTATTCCAAGTGTATAACTTATAAATGCTTAAGATTATTCATGTCATCGTACTGACACAATTAATGAAAATGCACTTCCCTAAAAAATGTTAAGTATTTTTGCAGTAAATCTGATGAGGAACATCATTTTACTTTACAGGTTGAGGAAAACCAAACTATTGAATTATTGAAGAAATATTATTTCATTTTGCTATGGATCATAATAAGTGGCCTGTAAATAAGTCATCAGACTGATTTGGTTAAATTTTTTTATCAAATATAATTACAATTTTACATCTTCACCCTCAAAATAACTCCTCATAGCAGTGCTGGAACTCTGATACTGGAATAGCTTTCAGCTTGTCAGTTACAGCAGCAGTGCTTCAACTCTGATACTGGAATAGCTTTCAGCTTGTCAGTTACAGCTGTTTGAACATATTTGACTGTCCCAAAATGAGTTCCGTTGAGGTGATTTTCCAACCTCGGGAAGAAGAAAAAGTCATAAAGACTCTAGTCAAACGCATAAGGAGACTGAGGAATCACAGAAATGTATTTACTGGCCAAAAACTCGTTTATTGACATTGGTGTGTGACAACTAGCATTATCTTGATGCAACACCCAGTTGTTCTGGATCTGATGAATGCTGGTGTCAGTCAAATTTACCTCTTCCCCGGTCATTCTGACGATCTGAATGCACAAGATTCCTCATTCTTTCGATATTTTCATCGGCACGGGTATTACGTATCTTAGAAGTGATATTATTTCGTTTTTTACATTGAATTGTTTTTTTGTAACATTATGTAGGTTTTTCTGCAAGATGTTAACTTAGCACTAGTTCATGGAGACGTTGTGAACTCGTTTTGTAGTTGTATTTGTTGCCTAGACGTCATGAGGCTTCTGTTATCAATGTTTGGCTCTGATGTGATGTAAAATCTGCTTCAGAGATGGCATTACTGGAGGTCTATGCCGCAAGTTCTATACTATAGTTAGAAGGAAGTGGCAATGCATAGGTACATAGTGAGGATTTGTGTGCTAATAATATGTGTCGATGATAATTTCATTGGATTCTTGTCTCAAATATACTTACTTGAGATTCAAAGCTAGAAATTGGTTGCGTATCCACTTTTTCTTATCCATTCTGGAAATTACATATGCAACTTTGCTGAATTTAAAAAATGAGAGAGATAAGAAATAATTATATTCACTGTACACTGTCGAATTACAAGTCATTATATGTACATGCTAACAGTAATTACACACAACGCGGGCGCGGTGGTGATTTCCCGTAATTTTCCTCAAGGCTTTTGAAAAAACAAACAAAAAAACGTAATATTCAGTAATGATTTTCTCACACAGAAAATATCACTGATTTTATACAAACATTCAGACCAATACACGTAATCATCCAGATGCGATCTTGCTATTGAACCGACTTTCTTCTCAGAGATGAAAACTACAGACTGCTCGACTTCACAAAACATATCGTCGGCTTTCTCACGAAGTGTCCTAACCAACGGTTAGTGAATTTTACAGGAGAGCATCAAAACGAAATCAGCGTGTTGTTGATTGAGCATTGTATGTAAAGTTTTTATATATTTCTGAATTGAAAATTCACGTGTATTAGCCTATATTCATTGTGAATCATATGCCGTTTCAATATTTGCGGTAGCTTATCAAGCTATTTTGGAAAAAAATGGAAAACGCACGTAGGTCACTTCGTGAGAATTTTCACAAGATTTTTGTCAGACAGAGCTAAAATATATTCTCATTGAAGTTCTTGTTATTATAATTTTTTAAGATATACAGAATTTGTTTCATTTACTTATATAAGCAAAGAATCATATTTCCAGCCAAGGGGGCGATTATCTCAGAAAATTTGTTGATTGTTAAATTTTTTAAGTAGTCGTTGGTCTGCTGACAGCAAAGTTTATGTAAAAAAGTTCAGATCGACTTTTGAGGTTTGGCTACCCCCTAAAATATTTTCCTCAATGTCTATGCCTAAAATTGATGTAGGTTATGACAAAAATATTACGTGATTAGATGAAGAAAACAACTCGAAACGTCAAACCAATTTTTATTGAAATAAAAACTAAAAGAAAAGCAACTGACTTAAATATTATATTTTGACATATTACCAGCAAATGTTGATGTGTTGTGATACACAAAAAAGGCAAAATTATCAATAATTCATTCCGTTTCATGGGCCAAATTTTGTAAAAGTTTTGGAATTCTGGTAAGCGTACAACTAACTGGCGTTTTTCGGATTTTACATAACGAATTTAAGTCGGAGTACTTTTTTGTTATTTTTAAGTTGTTCTAGTTTAATATCATTTATATTATTACTATTTCTCATCAGCCTTTTTAACTTAATACTGTCATAACTAGTATCGTGGTCGCTAGACTTGAAAAATATTTTGGTGGGCGTGTCTTTTATTACAATAAACTCCGTTTAATATTTTGCCTCTCCTCAGCTTGCCGTGTGGACAATATTCTTAAATCTTTTGAAAGTTTCTTGAAGTCAAAAAATTCATTGGCAATTACTAAATAAGGTTGACGTTTTCTGGCGAATCAAAAAACCGGATAGAGTTATGAGGGTTCAAAAAGATCTCCAACTCCCGTTATCGCAGTATGAATGCACTGTGAGCAGATTCTCCCTCACTTTGGCCATGATTCCACCACCGAGGAGCGTATACTACAAGGATTATTGGACACTAAGGGACTTATCTTCATTTAGGTCTCTTCGTGGGAATCATAAATTTACCTATGCAGATAAGACACCCAGGGGCTAACGGTGTGTTGCCCACACTAATAGATATATAGTTATGCTTCTTCGTCAGATTAACCAGCATGGAATGTTACACCTATATGCGGGTTATCTCAATTTTTGGTATTTTGTCAGTTAGAACACTTCGTGAGAAAGGCGACGATATGCAACCAACAATGCGTGTAGTCGTGTAGTTGAAGCATTCCTCCATAGATGGACGCTCACAACGATCCTAGTGAGCAAACGTGGAATGACTGTTTGCACCCTAAAGACTACCTAGTCTGTAAGATGATCTTTATAGGTTTTTTTGATGTTTTATAGGTATTTTACATAATACTGGTGCGGTTCTTGAAGATGAAGGCCTTCGGTTCTCCCTTCTGAAAATGCCTTAAACCACTGAAAAACCTGGGCTCAAGACAAAACACTATCCACTTGAGCCTGTTTAGTAAGAGTTTCTGTTGCACTGTACTCAAGTCTGAATCAAAACCTGATATCACACTGCTGCTTGAATTGATGTCATTCATTTTTAGATCACAACAGAAAAAACCGTTATGAAAAATCGCGTCAACTAAATCCTAGAACGAGTTCAAACTTCTACTGAACGGAACACGGATTACATGTTCTCCTGTCTCCCCTCCAAACCCAGTGCCTCCAGTGTTGCCAGATCGAACTCTACGTTGCCAGTCTCATCACTTAATTTACAGACCTTGTATATACCTACTTCTGGCATTTAGAGCTGTTAAATCATATTTGCACACCATCCTTGCTTTTAGAATGTTGTTTCCTCGAACTAATACGATTTTCATCTTATTTTATAGTTGAGATTTTATTTTTAACAGATATGGACAATGCCATTCAGAGAAAAGGTATCAACTCTGGTATCCTTAGCAGAAAACCTTTACTAGACCGACCAGTCAACAGCAAAAGTCCATCAGTGACTGGGCCCATGAACAAACCAGCATCAATTGGAAAACAGAACATCAGTAAGCTTAGTTTTCCAAGTATGACAAAACAACATTCGCAAGTACACTTGAAAGAAGATGAAGAAGATTTAAATGCTGAACAGTTCAATTTTTCTTTTGAAGAGGTTGAAGGTAATTATCGCATTGAAGAAACAATGATTCCCACCACAGTTTTCTTGACGACAGTAATTTTCTCAAAGAATATTGAAGTTTTTTTTTTGATGTTTCTTGCATAGTTAGAACTGTCAATAATACATTGTACCTGACTTTTCATATGTACAATTGATAAAAAACTGATGAATACACACTATCATATTATGATATATATGAGGGATGTCTTTTAAGTTTTGCATATAGAAACATAGTAGGCCGCACGGATCGAACGTCAGTACTGAATCTTAACCTCACTCTTTAGTAAACTTAAATTCAAAGTTTCACAACAATACGTGCAGTGTTCTCACTACAGTGAATTTTTGAGTGTTCCAAGTCATTGGAAAAATGGAACTCAACCGAGAACATTTTCGCGCCATAATTTATTACAACTTTCAGAACAATTATCGCAACAAGGGTGCCTTGCTGAGATACTGTCTGTTTTCGGCAACGAAGCGCCACATCAGTCGATAATTTCCCATTGGTATGGAGAATTCAAACGTGGACGGGTGAGTCTTTGCGACGATCCCAGGGTGGGATGAAGAATTAGGAGTAAGAAAATTAGTTTCTCGTTGGATACCCCACCTGTTGACTGAAGAGCAGAAAGCAGCCAGTCATTTAAAACTACCTACCGTGTTGTTTTATTTCCATATGCAAAACTTAAAAGACATTCCTCGTAGTATTATCGATCCGACTGCAACTAGTAGCTATTGTTTTTTCTAGCCTACCATTCTAAAGCGACAAAGTTTTTGCGATTGATCATTGGAAAACTTTTGGTCGATTCTATAAAACTTATTGGTCGCTGGACTCACTGACTTCTTTTTACCAATATTTTAGATCGCTTATGGAATGACGATTTGGACGACATGGTGAACGCCTTGGAGTTCCTTAAGCCCCATATCTGCGGTTTAGATACACCACCGCCGTCACCTCCACGCGATCTGAAAGTGACTTACATTGATTTGGATTTTGAAACAGGTCCAGTACGAGAGTACATTTGGCAAGGCGAAATAAGTGATGCGTGTTTAGATGTGGACATTCCTATGTTCAATGTATCTGATTCTGATTATGAATAGAATATTTTCGCTTTACTTTGTAAATAAATTTTTTTTAACTTCGCTACTAATAAATTGACGTTTTTGTATTGGTGGTTTTTTATACCCTTGTTGCGGCAGTACACTTTCCCAGTGGTATTCTCGCCTTTCAGGGAAAGCTTTGAGACTCAAACTCCCCCTGAGCTGCAAAACCTAACATGTATTTCTTTAGACATATAAAACAGAATTAGTACTCTGCCGGGTAAGTAGTCGATCGTAGGCAACTTGTGAATTGAGGAATTGCTAATATGATTAATTTTTTGTTTACAAGGTGTTACTATATCACTTGCTTTGTCGATAAAAAATTCGGTAATCCATAGAGCACGATGATGATGACCACGATGCGGCAGCGATTTTATTGGTCAATTTTTCGAAAATTGACCAGCTTGAGGCACGCGTTGTATGTCGAAACAAAAATGTACGTTTAAGATGTGGAGTATATAAGTCGTAGGTACCTAATATCTTAAAAATGCTATACAGGGTGTTTCAGTTTATTGTTGCATAACTTTAAGATACGATAGAACTTTTATTAAAATTAATGCATAAAGTCTATATAAACATGGGTCGAAAAATGCGTGGCTTCCGAAATACAGGGTGATTAAATTTACTTTCTAAAATAGTTTTTTTTTTAAATATTTCTAACAATATTTGATGTATAACAGTGAAAATTGGTATACAAGGGTTTTTTGGTACGAGGAAACGAACCATGTGCATAGTTTTACTGTAGCCGCTAGAGGGCGCTCTCTACTGTACCTGTAGTGTATTAAAATGACCGAAAAAAATTTATTAGTGCAATTTTTTGAATAAAAAAACTGATTCTTCGCACTTTTTAACATAAAAAAGCTCTCCTGTGAGTTTTCGTTATAGTTAGCCGTTTTTGAGATATTTCGATTTTTAAGGTTCGATGCATTTTTAATTATTTATGATAAAATAACGTTAAAAAGTCAGTATCTGGATAATTTTTAGAAGTAGGCTGTGCCTGCAAATATTTTTGAAATTGAAAGCAGAATAAGGTTAAACGTCAATTAGTTGACAGTTAGTTTTGTTGTCTGTTGAAACCTGAAACGTTTTTTGCAATTGTGAATGCACGAAATTTAGTTTCTTTTACCTGTTTTTTTTGTAAGTTTTATAAAAATGCCATTTTTATTCTACAATCAAGAGTTAGCGGATATTCATTTTCTGTATGGCTTTGTAAATGGAAACGCAGCAGAAGCAGCCAGAGAATACACACGAAGATTTCTAAACAGACGACATCCAACTCGCTCAGTATTTGTAAGAGTGCATCGCCAAACAATTGAAAATGGTTTTGGAAATCTCCAAAGGGATCAAAACATAAATGTTCATCAGCGCAGATTTACCCGTATGATTCTGCGTGAGTTTGATAGAGATCCGACCCCAAGTGTTAGGAGACTTTCTGGTGCCTTGGGAATTTCAGCAAACCGTGTTCTTAGAAATGACAATAGACGTCCTTACCATTTGCAACCTGTGCAAGGACTACAGCCAGGGGACGCAGAACGAAGAATCACATTTTGTCAGTGGATTCTTGATAGAACTGATAATAATAGGGAGTTTTTAAGTAACGTTTTATGGACCGATGAGTCATGCTTCACTAGACGTGGAGTGGTAAATTTTCATAATCAACATATTTGGTCGCATGAAAATCCGCATGCAGTTCGGAAAAGAAATTTTCAGCATGAATTTAGTGTGAACGTGTGGATTGGTATCTACCGTAATCGACTATTTGGACCCTACCTTTTGCCTGCAAGGTTAAATGCTGCGACCTTCTTGGAATTTTTAAAGGCTGAACATGCAAATATGTGGGATGATGTTATGTTAGATTTAAGAAGATTGGCCTGGTTCCAGCTTGATGCTTGTCCAGCTCATTATTCGAGAATAGTTAGAAACTGGCTGGACGAAAATTATCCAGAAAGATGGATCAGCCGTGGAGGACCAGTCGCCTGGCCTCCACGATCCCCTGACCTAAATCCATTAGATTTCTTTGTGTGGGGATTCCGAAAAGAAAAAGTGTACCAGACTCCCGTAACCACAAGAGATATGCTAATAGACAGAATCAGGAATGCATGTGATGAAATAAGGCCTTATTTGAATAATGCTATACCACGTTCGATCATTCGTAGATGTGATTTGTGTATTGAACAATTGGGTTTACATTTCGAGCAACTACTTTAGATTACGTATGTTTGTCCTAACTATCCAATAGCATTTTAGTTGTAAATAATTAATTTAATTTGTTAAAAATAATATTGGAAAATTAAACAAATTAATATTCTGTTTTTTGGTGTTTATTTGGAGTTAGGAATTATTGCTGTGTTTAAAAACACTGTTATACATCAAATATTGTTCGAAATATTTAAAAAAAAACTATTTCAGAAAGTAAATTTAAACACCCTGTATTTCGGAAGCCAGGAATTTTTCGACCCATGTTTATATAGACTTTATGCATTAATTTTAAAAGTTCTATCGAATCTTAAAGTTATGCAACAATAAACTGAAACACCCTGAATATAGGCGCAACTACATATGAAAGTTGCTCCAAAGGTATCGAAATCTAAATCAATCCAACTTTCCAGATCGATAGTTCGCCCCTAGGTCCCTCAAAGACGTGTTTTTTCGAAAATACTATTTACCGCCGCAATTTTGCTTAAAAAAAAAGAAAATATTACCAAAGCTGCATTGTTACAGTTTGCATAATCTGATTTTTATAGATTTAGTTAAGTAATGAAAACTTAGCAAACTTAATAACATAATCATAAATTTTTGCCCATATTTTCACTGATTTTTTTAATTTTAGACATGTTCAGAGTAGACTATCATAACTGGGCTAACCCAATACACGTATGTATTTTAATGAATTTCCTGGTTTCTTTGCTAAGTTTTGATTTGTTATCCGGAAAATAGCGGAAAAGAAAAACTGCATTTCACTTTCTCCAATTTTGACATTTTAGATCGGGCTAACACAATAGCTCACTGTATGGATCTTAAAATAATGATTTCCCCGGAAAATCATAAAAGCGGGAATACCGCATTTTCACCGATTTTTGACATTTTTAGAGTAGGATATTATAACTTGCTTGACTCAAAAACTCAATCTTAATACGTATGCATTCCTTCAGATTCCATACTCAAAATTGCATTTAGTGGTCCAGAAAATTGCCAAAATTGACAACGAAATGACATTTCTAGACTTTGATAACTCAAAAACTCAATGGAAACAATGTATTTCAGTGTAATATTTTAAGTTTCATTGTAGTTTCCCCGGATATTTGGTAAAATCCAACTATTGTCCTTGTTCTTTACAATATAATTATTGTTCTTATCGTTATTGATGCTGCTTTTTTGTTCTTGTTATTGTTCTTATTCTCCTTTTCTTGATATTGTTATTATTCTTATTATGCATTAAAATAATTTTTAGCTTTAACAGTGGCGTGCGTACGGTTATTAACTTCGATATTTTTTAAGAAAAAAATGGTACGCCAATGTTTTTTTGCCAAATAGAAATTATTTTTGAATTTCCCGTTCAATTTAAAACAAGTGATCTCTCTTAAATTGTGTTCCTTCGATGCGCCATTTATGAGTAAAAAAATTATTATTAATTTAATTTGAAAAATTAAACACATTAGGGGTAATGAACAACAACTGACAATATAAAGATAACATTGAAACCAACGAAATGATTACAAACATTGTTGAAAATGGCCCCTTCACTTGGTCAAGCTTCCGCCCTCCTCATGGAATTGCGCACTCGTTGAAATATCCCTGGAGTATTTTTTATTCACAAGCTGCAACTATTCTTTCTCTTAATTCCCCTACAGTGTAAATGGGACTTGTATATATTAGAGTCTTAAGATAACCCCAGAAAAGGAATCTAAGCTGTTGAGGTCTGGTGACCTTGGTGGCCATTCTTGGGGCCCACCGCGGCCAATCCAACGATTTGGATAAACACTTTATCAATAATTACGAACCGCTATACTGAAATGCGCTAGTGCACCATCATGCATGTACCACATATTATTTCTTATTACTAACGGAACATCATCAAGCAGCAAAGTCAACTGTTGTTGAAGAAAATTGAGATAAGTCTGTCCGCCAAGAAGAATGGGCCAATAAAGTGGTTGCCAATAATACCTGCCCATACGTTAACCGAAAATTGGTGTTAGAAATGAGTTTCGGTTACGGCATAGGGATTTTCTTCTGCCCACAAATTAATTATTATTGTGGAAATTCTGAATGGCATTTCGAGAAAAATTAGCTTCGTCCGTGAACATAATTATTGATTCAAATTGCGGATTTTGTGTAATTTTTTGAAGATACCAGTGACAAAAGGTCACACGTCTTGGAAAATCAATGGGAAGTAATGCCTGTACTCTTAAAATATGGTAAGGATATAACAAAAAATCCACTAAAATCCTCCAAACAATTTGATGCAAATATTTAAGTGTCTAGCGATCTCGTACTCGTTTCAGCACTGCTTCCTCAATTTCCGGTGTTCTCACACTTGGAGATCTACCTTCAGATGTTCCTTTTCGGACAGAACCAGTTTCAACAAGACGACGATGAATATTAGAAAAGGTTCAACTATCTTGCAAAGCATGATCGGGATATCTCTGGTGATAAATCCGTCTGGCTTGCTCACCGTTATCGTCGGCAAGGCTATATACGTAATGCATTTTCGCCATTTCTGCATTTGAATAATTCACCATTATTATCAAGATTGTAAAAACTGAATAATGAAAAAGATGTCACAGCGAACAGATCTGAATAACAGAAACTTGTCATATGTCAAAGACCTGCGACATATTCTAGAGCAACTAGATATTTATTGCTAAATTGCATTCTTCAATTATTACATTAATTTTCGTGGACAATAGAACGGTTTTTATTCGTTTACTCAAAAATGGCGCATCGAAGGAAAACAATTCTAGAGAGATCAAATTGAACGGGGAGTTCAAAAATATTTTTTATTTGGCAAAAAAACATTCGCGTACCATTTTTTTCTTAAAAAATATCGAAGTCAATACCCGTTTGCACG